ACGGTGCTCTGGAGGGCCCACCCGCCCACCTGAGCTTCTTACCGGTCTTTTAAGTCTTCGGCACTTCCGCGCACAGCACATATAGCACCTGCGCGATGCTGAGCAGCTGGAGCGTTGCGGAGGCTCATGGAAGGGGTAAGACGCATGCACATGCTGCATGTGTCCATGTGGACGATGCTGGGCACGTTCCAACCGATACGGTTGGAACGGGATCCGGAACCCACCACTGGTGGCATATACATTTAAAAAATAAATACATTATCTATGCCTTTTATTCTGAGCCAATACTGTTCTTAAAATCTGCTACTAAGGCCTTACTCCATTTTAAAATGTCAAACATTAGGTTGCATTGTACCTCTTGTATAATGCGCTTTGTCAAGGAATTCACTGCCTGACCTATTCATAGCAGAGAAAAGTATTTTAACTCAGTGATCTTATACTAGTCAAAGTTTAACTTGGAACGTAGATGAAGATAAGGTTACATTTTAAAAACCTTAATAAAAGTGCATTAATGCATCTGTTTGGGTCTTGAAAATATTTATTCTATGACCTACACAAGGAAAAAACTCATTATATTTTCTAAAAACAATCATCATTGTTTTAAATTGTCTTCAATTGTCTACGATGTTGATAAACATTGTAGGGATTTTGGTATTGTTGGAAAATTCCATATAGAGAAAGATTACTTTAAGTTACTGTATTGAACAAGAAATGGAAGCAGGTAAACATTAACTGAAGAAAAGATTAGAAAATAAGATGGGGAAGAATGAATGAATCTGCTTAAGCCGCATCTATTTGCAGTTTTTAATGAGAGAGAAGTTAGATTTTCAGAATACTTTCTGAAAATATTAATTTCTTAATGCTCTGAATAATTTTAACACCTTGTCTTCATATATATAGAGAGACTTTCAGGAGCTTTGGCCCTTTGGAGTTAAGAAGCATTCTCCAGAATTTTTGTTAAGAGCCTGTCTTTCATATCCAACTACACCTGTAGCTCTTAAGCCAAATTTCTATCATGGCACATTTCTGATATGTGGAGCAACTCCCAAAATTCCCCAGCCAGAATGAACATTACTGAGAACTGTGGAAGCTGAAGTGTACATACCTGGAATTTAACAGTTAGACAAAAAGGGATTTTATTTATTACATTTGTATATCTATCCATCTCACATGAAAGTGACTCCGCACAGCGTACACCACTTAAACAATAAACATAAAAATAATCACAGTTAAAAATAAGTATAGGAATGCAAACAAAAGAGAAGATTTTAACTGCAGTAAGGGAGGCACTGCAAAATCTCTCTGATCCCCTCAGGCACCAGGCCTGATAACACGGGATTTTTGGGACTTGCAGAACATTGAGAGGGATGGATCTAATCTCACTTCCTAGAGGGAGAAGATTCCACCAGGCGGGTGCTGCAGTAGAGAATTGTGGCACGACAAAACCGCGGTCCACTAAAGCGCGCCCGATTAAAGCGCGTTGCTGACGTCATCAGCAGCGCGACAACGACCACGGAGAAAAAAGGGCGCTTTAAAAAGCGCTTTTAAAGCAAGCCGATTCACGTAAAGGTGTTAGGGTTAGGGTTAGGTTTAGGGTTAGGTTAAGGGTTAGGTTTAGGGTTAGGTTTAGGGTTAGGTTTAGGGTTAGGTTTGGGGGGGGGTTAGGTTTAGGTTTACACGTTAATTTT